GCATTTTAAAGTTTTGAGAAGCAGATGGCATAGATTTGAAAACACTTAATCACGGCTGCTATGCAAAGAATCAAGTTGAAGGGAGCAAGTGTGGAAACAAGCAGATCAGTTAGGAGCCTTGCCATATGCTATGTAAGAGATGATGGTGGTTGGATCAATGAATGGTACCAGTGGGACATGGTGAGAAATGATCAGATTTGAGGTATTTTTTAAAAGTAGAGGCAGGGGCGCCTGGGTGGCTCAGTTGCTTAAAACGACTGCCTTCGGCTCAGGTCATGATCCTGGAGTCCCTGGATCGAGTCCCACATCGGGCTCCCTGCTCGGCAGGGAGTCTGCTTCTCCCTCTGACCCTCCCGACCCTCCCCCCTCTCATGTGCTCTCTCTCTCTCAAATAAATAAATAAAATCTTTAAAAAAAAAAAAGTAGAGGCAGTATAATTTGTTAGTTGACTGAAGAGAAAGAGCAGAGTCAAGGGTGACTCTAATATTTAGGGCCTAAGCAACTAGGTGAGTGGTAGAATCATTTCTTTGGATGAGCAGGTTTCAGGAAAGGAAATTAAGAATTATCTTAGACATTTCATCTGAGATGTTCAGAGTGACACTGGACTTGTTTCCTTCTTTCTGCTTCTTACAAAATTGAAACAGATTTAGTGCCACTTTCAAAATAAGAATGAGTAATTGTCTGAAAATAGATCATGGATAAGGTGAAATTGTCCTAGGTTAGAAATGAAACAATGCGGCATCAATAATCAAGACAGACTTTAGTAAATAATTTAAACTAATTTGGTGACATAGAGGGCTTATTGAATGTTCTTTACTTTACTTTGCTAAATAGCTCTATTTTTTTCCCCTGGGATTTCTCCTGACGAGAGGATTTGCCCTGAGAACTTGCTGAAAATTAAAGGTCTGGTTCATAATAACAAAACTGTTGATGTTGATACCTTTGGGCATATTTCTCAACTCATGTTAACTGGGCACTACCTTTTTTGTAGGCTCTAAGAAGACCTTGTTGGAAATATCATGTGGTATACATCCACCTTTGGGTTATAATATGAATATTTAAACTGGAGCATTGACCAGAGAATTGGCAAAACCTAATATGAAGTAACTTGGACTCATGTAAACACTGAAGTTTTCTGGCTATGAAGTATCATTAGATATCTAAATGAAAAAACAAATCTGGTTTCTAGGTAGACACAAAAAAATAGCTTAATATTTAATAATTACTCATGTAGAGAGCTGGAATGGGACAAGATAAGACATCTTTAAGTAACTCACCTCTAACCTGAGGATGAGCAAACTCCCCTACTTACTTCATAGTTTTGTTTGTGAAATTTGTTTAAAAATGTACTTTAAAAATGCAAATTGAAGGTAATAATTTTCTGCTGATGTGTAATTATTATACCTAGAATGTTTTTAGGGGAAGAATCTTCAACAAAATTAGGCTTTGCTTCCCTCTCTTTAATGCTGGTATTGACCCATTTGTCTTGCCTTCCCTGTCCTATGATGTCCCACACAATAGAAGTATCTAATTCAGTTCTTTCAGAGAAACTTGCTGGGCCAAGAACCAAATCCCATTACATAGGAACTAGTCCTGGAGAGTTGGGTACAGATCATCTTTTAAAAATTTGGCTGCAGGGACTCCTGGGTGGCTCAGTTGATTAAGCATCTGCCTTTGGTTCAGGTCATGATCCCAGGACCCTGGGATCCAGCCCCACGTTGGGCTCCTTGCTCAGCAGGGAGGCCTGCTTCTCCCTCTGCCCGCTGCTTCCCCTGCTTGTGCTCTCTTTCTCTCTCTCTGTCAAATAAATAAATAAAAATCTTTAAGAAAAAAATAAAGGTGCATTAATTAAAAAAAAAGTTGGCTGCAGAGGGGATGCACTTTGAAGTAAATCCTTCTTCATTGTTATAGTTTTCATCCATTACTATTACAGGGATCACCCCCATCTTAGTTTTATTTCTAGTCTACTTTTGGTGTGAGTGACATTAGTAATTTAATAAGTTAGTATATGTTGCATTATCAGAATAAGGACATGAAATATATGGAAATAAGTCAGTAGCAATATGGAAATAGTGTAAGGTCTAGTCTCTTAATTCCTCTTTCAGTTTGAAAGAGGAAAAACAGCAGATAAAAACAAATAGAGACAAATGCATACATTAGAAGAGAATGTGGAACTAAAGAGGCAGAGCAGAGCTAATACATAGGAGAAACAGTGGAAATCTGTTTAATTAGGAACATTCCTTAAAGGGCAGGAGTTAAAGGAAGGAAAAGGTTTTTAGATAATAGGCCAAGGGTGAGTAAGCCATTCTCTTATTATTGTTTTAATTAATTGGTAAAGGTGGGAAGGTAGGAAAGAAAGTAAGGATTTAGTTTGAGTGGGAGAAAAGAGATTGGCTTCTATGAAACATACTTTCATACGTTTTTGAATACAGAACAGGATAAACACGTAGGAAAGTAAAGGATACTGAAGCCAGAGCCCAAAGTTAGTATTTAACCTTGACAGCAAAGAAATTGTGTAAAAGTAAACTCTACAACCTGTAGAAAGGCTAATGAAAGGCCAACAAGAAGACTTCAGGCATCTAGGATGTAAAAAGAGTTTGGTGGTAGTCATAAGAAATGAGGTTTTCTAGCACTCTCAAGATCTCACCATTTGTGGTGAACTTAGCTCTTAAACAGGAAATCAAAAATGAGAAAATGTCGATCTCATTAACTCAAAGATTCATTTTAAGTGTGAAAAATAAGAAAACAATAGAACATTTTCATCCCTCTTCAGCCTGTCAATTTTCTTTAGATGATGAAGGATTTGAAAAAGATAACTTCCCAAATTACATTGATATAACATGCTGGCTAGAGTGGGAGAGGAGCAAGTACCCCAAAGAGGCTCCAGATCTGAAGATCTAGTTTTAGTTCAAGTGCTTGGTGGGAAGGCTGTGCTGTGCCCCTCCTGGAGGGTGTAGAGCATTGTGACTCTGAGTGGAGGTCTATGCAACACACAGCCTGTGCAGAGCCTGTCAAGGTGACTCTGGTTATACACGAACTCTGCAAACTCTGGTGACTGCAAGTAAATAGTCACATAAACATTTGTGCCCACCAAAAATGTATTTGCTGAATATATGCTCTTAAATTTTTAAACAGGTTCTTCTGTCTGTACTTGGGTTGTTCCCTTTAACCAAAAGTGCAATGCCCTAGCAGTTTTAAAAGCTCTTTGTCAAGTATGAAGCACCACAGAAATTTAAGAAAATACCCCATGGTGTTTGATTCTTCTATATCTCCTAAGAGAGGAAAAAAGTTAAGATAATTCTTTCATTTTCTGGGTCTTGTTAAAGGTAATGACACCAGGCGACAAGCAATGCCTTTGTCAAATCTCAGTGTCAATGAAGGAAACTACTGTAATTATTCTGGGGTTAGCAGCATCATTCGTCTTGTATTTTCAGGTTAGCAAGCTGAGTTCATTACTCCTATTACATATAAGGAAATAACTGTTGAAAAATTTAGCTGTCACTTTATTTCATTAAAGCCCCTTCACATTGAAACGTGATTTATCAGCTGTCCTGTTTCTTCAAAAATAAACCATCTCTATGAATTCCAAAACCCAGCTTGGATTAAAAACTCATTCAATTTTTGGTGTCCATGAATTGTGGTTCTAAGTCCATTCCACTGAATGGACTAAGCACACTGTAATAGGAACATATAATAGAGCCTGTATTCTAAATTACAGATCTATAGAACTGGGCTTTAACACATTAGTATGAGTTCCAATAGCATTAGCCATATTCTATAAGTGGGAATAGAGACAAACTTCCAGAATTTGGATAGTGTCCAGCTGTTTGTTTCATAGTCCATTATTACAAGATTCTGTAATGGCTATAATTTTGTCTACTGACAAAATAAGTATAATGTGCATATATTTCAAATTTCCTGGAATGGCCTTGATTTTAAATATTTTGTTTGTTGTCAAATCATGTGTCAGACAACATATCTTAATTTTTGTTTAAAAATATGTTTATTATAGCTTTAAGTATAGACATTCTCAATTTCCTAGAAAAGGATTATGGATTTTACGTGCACTTAAGAGTTATTATTAAGGAGAGACTGAAAAGTTGTGACAAATTCTTTATTGAGAATTCATTTCATTATTATCAATGTGAAAGTAATTGAACCGTAATTTTTTGAGAAAGAAAACTGGATTTGTTTCTTTCAAACTGACTGACTCTAGGATCTTTAAGTATGAGTAAAAATCTGTTGATAAAATAGTAAAATTTCTTAACACCACTGCTGTAATGTTTACTTTTGGGGAATGGAAATACAGATTAATCCATGTTCTCTTTTTCTTTGCTTATATGGTTTTTAAAATATAATTCAAGATGTGCATCTAATTACTGCTAATAGTGCAATGTACCAGGCCAAACACTTGCCACTGACTGTCAAGTGTCTTTCTGATGTAGTTGAAGAGAAGAGAGAGAGAGAAAGGAGAAAGAAAGAGCAATGTCCTTTGAGCAAGACTTTTTGCAGCTGTTGTGTGCATTAATCCAGGGAGCAGATCTCCCAACACTAAATATAGCAAGCATATCCTTTTACATGATAAAAAAAATTAAAATGAAAGTCTTTAACTACGGAGTCATATTATTTTAGATTTGGTTTCCTTTAAAAAGGAAATAGGCATCGCACACATATTCTCTATACGAACACCATTATTTTAATAAGTGAATGTGTGGAAATACCAATGAGGTATGGAACATGTTACAACTTCCTCTGCTGAGGTATTTCTCCTTAGGACCCAAGGAGGCTGTGATCTCTGTGAGTCTCATCAATCCCCTCTGAAACCTTTACATGTAGAAAACTTCATTTTTTCGCAAACTTTTGTGTCCCATCATACATAATTAGGAAGCTATCCTAGGTTTCACTCTAAACAGCAATAACTAGGTCTCTGAAATATCCCTTTTCCCATTGTCAGTGCCCTGTTATCAAAACACACTTGAGAACTTAAATCTGGATATTACCTTTCTTTTTTTAGTTGACCCAGATGAGGATGTCCAACCCAGGCAATCCACTGCGATGACAATTATCCAAGGAGAACTTTTGAGATGAAAGCACAGGAGGAAAAGAAAATTCTTCACGCCCTTGGAAATCGAGAGTAGCCGTCCATAGAGAGTGAGGAGTTAACCTTAGTTTCAGTGAAGATGGCTGTAAGAAGCTGGACAACCTGTCACCACCGGAGCCAGAGCATTTGTCAGCTCACAGGTCCCAAGTTATTTTGAGCTGTATAAACCATGTGCCTGTGAAACATTCCACCTGATTGGACAGGAGAAAACTGAGCAAAGGGATTCCATAGCGGGACAGCACCTATGGGCAGTGGGGGTCAATCAGTTTTCCTACCTATAGAATTTCACTTCTAGCTAGAGGCCCAAGTTGTTTATTGATTTATGTTTGGAATTAATACTAAATTCAGACACCATGTTCCATCTGTCAAAGAAAATGGCATTATTTTTGAAATACATCAGAATTCTTAATTTTTAGGAACTTTAATTTTAATGGAAAATTTATTATCATTTAATCACTGATACATTTTAGGAAATTTGGCTGTGAAAAGCCACATGAAGCTGAGGCCTAACATTTTAAAAGTGGAGAGTTTTGGAACCGTTCATCCAAAGGCTAAGCAAAAGCGGAGAAGATAACTAACATTAAAAGTTGTTAATTAGAGATCACAAAAACAAACAAACAAACAAAAAATGGAGAGGAAAAAACCATCAGCCTGAGAGTAAACCCAGTAACGAATTAGTTTGAACAAACTGCATCAGAAGAAAACCAATCAGATACTGTTTAAAAGTCAAAATGACTATATAACATAATAGATTACAACTCCTATTCTTGTATTAGTATCTGGAATAACATTTTTGTGTATTATTTGAAAAAGTCTATGCCAGATGTCTTCTTTCACAAACATTACCAATCAATAAAAAAGAATGCTTAACCAAACCATCATCTGCTCAAAAACCTTCTTTGTCAAAGTATAGGTTCTTTGATATTAATTTCATACATTTTCAGAATAGAAATTTGGGGAAAAAGAAGTTAACTCCATTGCTTGGTACAGATTAAGTGTGCTGTAATGTCATTAATCTTGGCAGAAGCCTGCGTTTTGAAAATTCAGGTAAATGTCATTGATTATTTTTTAGAAGGATCATTCTTAGATTTGGATAGCATGAAATACATTGGCTTATAGCTGGCTTCTTAATTAAATCACTCAACGGTTTGTAGGAATTCTTCTCATTCATTCATTCATTCAATAAATATTTACCAAATGCCTACTATGTACCAGGTACTGGGTATAAAGCAGTGTACAAAATATACCAAAATTCTTAACCTTATGGAATTTACTAAGAGCTCTTTTTACCTTTTTTAGGCATCTTGAGACTCCCTATTGTATATTGAATAGATATAACATTTCTTTGTTTATTATGATCACATCAGAGGTTTCACTACTCCCTTCTTATGCAGCTTTGTATTTACACAGGCAAAGTGAAAAAAAAATTGAGGAAAACTTTTAAATAATCCAGGTTAAAATTACTATTACTGAGGAGGGAAAAAGGTACAAAAAGAACTGAATTATGTGGATAGTTTGTTTTTATTACCACGGTAGTCCAGATCTTCAATGACAGATTCCTTTGTTCTCTTACCTAATCCTGTGCTGATACTAACCTCAAGACTACTTATTTGTGTTTATACATTTTCTGTTTATGTGGATACTCCAACAATTTCTTTTTATTTAAAGATAAGATCTTGGAGCGCCTAGGTGGCTCAGTCAGTTAAGCGTCCAACTCTTGATTTTGGCTCAGGTAATGATCTTGGGGTTGTGGAATCTAGCCCTGCACTGGGATCTGTGCTCAGCAGGGAGTCTGCTTAAGATTCTCTCTCCCCCTCTCCCTCTGCCCCTCCCACCAAACCTCTCTCTAAAATAAATAAATAAATCTTAAAAGGGAGAAGAAAGCCTTTCTCCCCTTTTCTAAATAAATAAATAAATAAATAAATAAATAAATAATCTTCCCCAACTATCCCACTCAGATCTTGAGACCTAATCAATATAACTGCTGCTAGTTCTTCATTAGGGATGTGGGAAAGTGGAACTATTTCAGGTAAAAAGAGATGTGCTACAATTTGATTTTCCAAAGGGAAATGCATATACATGCTGTAAGTGAATACATTTCTACTTCCATACAAACTATGCCATGATAAAACAGTGTACAAAATTTTTTGAACACTGAAAAAAAGCTGGATGTAAATATTAAAATAAATAATATTCAGCAATTGTGGACATCTTGCTTTCAGTACATCAAACCTGGTATTCTAGATTCTGTTTTTTTAAATTAGTTTTTTCTCCCAAGTAACCCAGCCTCTATCCTGGGTATCATTGTAGTACTTATATAAACATTGTACCACACACCCACTAGTTTAGATTTTACCAGAGTTTATTGATACAGAGAATAATTTTTAAAACTTTAAAAAATATTCCAACATAGTTAAAAAGAAATTTCAGAAGTGACAAGTAAACACAAGGTTACATGTCTTAAGCCTTCCCCATAAAGTTGAGTGGCCCATCCAACACATGTGTTTATTGTGGTTTGAACATGATCCTGTGCTTGCCTTCAGCTGTTTTCTTAATTCAGTCACTCAGCTACAGAAACAATTTACTCACATTGGGATGATCCACAGGAATACTGAGGAACCTGGAAGATCTATGACAGAGGAAGTCTTCACTTGGAGGATAAGCATGCAAGAATTCTGCCCTAGTAGATTCATGTAAAATTTTGTATTTCCTATTTTTCCATATTGCTGTAGATTTTAATTTTTAAAAGAAATTGCGCACATATACCAAAGTTTCAGTAAGTTTTGCTTAAAGTTCACAGGTTTATATTCACTTACCCCCCTCTAGTAGCAGATGAGAAGAACAAAACCCCCTCTATATCTTATTTTTAAAGAACAGAGACATGTATGTATTTCCTAACCTTTGTTAATGAGAAAAATACACAGAAGAAAAGTTCTTGTCCATCCAAAATGATATATGTATGGTGGACTATAGAGTGTCTTATCCAAACCCCATGATACAATGTAATTGAGAAATACAATTAAATCCTTATGAAACTTCTTTTTCATCTAAACTGTATTGAAAATGCTTACCTAAAACTAAAACCAAAAACATTAAAAAAGGTCTAAGCCCAAAACCCATTTAATTTCAAAAACTAAAAACATTTTTTTAAACTGTACACAGAACACCTATTTTTAAAACATTATCCTGAGAAGTAAATTTGTGGTTACCTGTGGGAGAAGCACCATTCCTATATCAATCAACCAGGATCATCCAAAGCCCAAATCTCACTGCCTAACTTGTGTCAGCCACAGAAGTATCATGAAGGAAATATGATACTACCCCGCCAGAGTAATGAAGGGTATTTACAGGGTTCCGTGGCAGATCCAGGGACAGTCATTTAGAACAGATTGCTCTTTCAGATCAACTTTAATAACTCAGTCTGCACGATGTTCTTAGCCTGGAGGGATGGTGGGGGTGGATAATGACAAAGATGACTAAGGAAAGACTTTTCTTGATCTTTCTTTAGATAAAAAGGATAATAAAGATGGAATTTTAAAGAATAAAGTAGAAGAATGGGCAAAATATCTATACACAGGATGCAGATGACATGTGTAAATACCTTTATTTGATATAAAATTAAGAATATGGTCAATACATTTATTAAAGTGAATATGGGAAAACAATGATTATAATACTCGATGTGTGTTCCTCTAATTTTAGGGTAATTAGATTAAAGCTTTACTACGTGGTTTTCATGAAGACACGATAGGTCTTTCTTCATTTTTAAAAAGATTTTTCATTTATTTACTTTTGCGCATGAGAGAGAGAGAGAGAGAGAGATAGAGAGCGTGAGCATGCACAAGCTGGGGTGAGGGGCAGAGGGAGAAGCAGGCTCCCCGCTGAGCATGGAGTCTGATGTGGGGCTCGATCCCAGGACCCTGGGATCATGACCTGAGCTGAAGGCAGATGCTTAACCGATTGAGCCACCGAGGCACCCAACACAATAGGACTTTCTTTACTTGTACTTTTGATATGGAGAACATATCAATGTTTACACTTTTTAGAAAGTATTATTCCAGGGCACCTGGGTGGCTCAGTTGGTTGAGCGGCTGCCTTCGGCTCAGGTCATGATCCTGGTCTCTGAAGTACGTATTGTTAGAATTCTACAGATGAGAACCTGAGGCTTAGAGGTTAAAATCTGCCCAAGGCCTCATAAGTGAGTGACTGAGCCAGGATTAAACATAAGGTTAACTCTAAGTCTGTGCTCATAACCACTGCAAATATTTAAATGTTCACATTTCTAAGGTATTTGCAAAAAAATTTAAGGATAAAAATGAACAAAAAACATACTCTCTTTTAGTGAGTATTTTAGAGGAATGCTATATAGAATTTTAAGTTTATAATTTTTCTGACTGAAACCAGCTCTGAGGTGTTTTGGATGACTAAACAAACAAAAAGAAGAGAAAATACAGAAGGAAAAAGGCAAATGTTTTCAGATACATTATCTTCAATATTTTAGCTGAGAATATGAATTGTTATGTACAATGAAACATTGGGTAGTGATTTTGAAAGGTAGGGCATTGGAAGACAGTCTGAATGCTTTGACAGACCTATTTTTTTTGTTTCTATTTATGATAGTCATTTTGCTGAGAAAATTTAAGAGCTTTGCTCTTTTGAAAGTAGATTTAAATGCTCTGGTATTACTTCTCAGCACATCAATATGGGTCAATAAATATTTTGCAAGTTAGGGATAGGAAAACAGCAGTTGAAATATTCTCTCTTAATAACGTTAGCACTGAATATATTAAATGCCAGTATGCTAGTCTCTGGGTGATTCCACTCAGATTCTATTTTTGGGTAGCACCAACATCTCAGAAAGCCAAAAACAAAGTTCAGTGTTCTTACCCATGACCCAGATAATCGCATTAACACTAATGATATGAAGGAAAGGAAATGGGAATTAACATTTCTTCCGAGTGAACTCTAAGCCAGGAGTAGCCTAAGTTATCTCTTATTTAATACTCAGATCAACTCTACAAGGTATTGTTACTTGCAAGTTACAAGGAGGAAACTGAGTCTTAAAGAAGTTTAGTTTTCCCAAAGTTACCCAACCAGTGAGCTGCACAGCTGGGTGAATTCAAATCTAGGCACTTTAGTTTAAAACAAATTCTCTTTTAAAGACA